GAGAGGGATTCTCATGAAGCATATTGTGAGGCCATACTAATTTCACTGTAGAAACTGCAGGACTTTTTCTCAACCCAGGATACCCATTATTTGGTGCTTCACATGATGATCTTTTGTCGTGTGACTGTTGTGGAAAAGGAGTTTTGGAGATAAAATGCCCCTTTTGTGTACGGTTCTCCTCACTGGATGCTTGGAAAGGAAGGAATTCTTGTCTTGAAGAAACCGAGACAGGACGTCAATTGAAACAAAACCATCCTTATTATTACCACGTACAGACACAAATCCACTTGTGTAAGAAAGACTATGCAGACTGTCGTGTGGATTGAGAAGGAGATTTATGTGGAAAGGATGAGATGAAAAGGAAAGCTGCAAACTTTAACAAAATGGCAGTCATGCCTGAGCTTGTTGGGCAGTTCTGAACGCGCCAGGGTATGTCTGCTCCTCTAGCAGTACGACTGGACAGCAATACAGATGATGCAACAATCAGTAATGATGTTTTCTGCATTTGCAGGGTAGGGGAAGCAGACACTATGGTGGCCTCTGATAACTGAAACTGTTCATATCAATGGTTTCATTAAGCCTGCCTAAAACTGACCTGGTCAAAACTGCCCAAAGGTAAATGGAACTGTCCGGACTGTAGTCGCCTTCCTGAGTTCTGGAGCAAGAGAAAGCCTAAGTCTCTCAGGAAGTGATGCAACATTTAGAAAAAAATAATTCCTTGCTTTAACAAGAACTGCAAATTTCAAACTTTCATACTAGTTAATTAGGACCACGTGTAATTTATTGTATTTCTGGAATGTTTTACCAACTGAAGAGACATCATAAAAATTTATGATTGTGTGTTATTATGTATGTTTCCTTTTCTATTTACCAAGATATTCATAAAGAGTATTTGAATGATTCTTTTTTTTTTTACTTTGTTCCATTAATTATTGAAGCAAAAATTATTATGTTCTTTATCTTTGCATTGTCAATCGTGATAAATGTTATGATCATTGACAAGTCTTGTCGACATATTATCTGCTTAAAGTTTAGAAATCAACAAATTGACTCAAGGTCATTCTTTTAAAAAAATTCTTTGTAGTTGCTGTCATTTTTTTTCTTAGGTAATAGACTTTTTTTAAAAGAGAGATTAATGTAACGTTAAAAACACCATAGCTTTAAAAATGTTTAGGTCTGAGAAAAGTGATAATTCAGCAACATCAAATATTTTTTTAAATTTTAATCCCAAGGACTTGCAGATACCATTTCCCCATGGAAAATCTATATAAACTAGTCAAGTCTATAAAGGTCAAATTGAAGCCCTTGAAAGGTTGATAATAAATGAGTTATATATTGCATAGTAGACAATAAAATGAGTTTACCCTATCTTATTTTAAAATTCAATACATCATGGTCAAATGAAAAAGACAATTTATTTTGTACTGTGGATAGCATATATTAAACAGAACAGTGTTGAACACAAGTAGCAAATCTACATGCATATTTATATATTTATAGACATATTAATCTGGCATTTCATTGTTGCCATCAGTCCATCGGGCTTGCTTATCTCAACACAAAATACAACAAATTATTTACGTCAAAACATACATACATACATATATATATATATATATATATATATATATATATATATATATATATATATATATATATATATATATATATATATATATATATATATATATATATATATAGTTATAGTTATAGTTATGAAATATATATATGTGGACCTGTACCTGATACCAGAGAAATTTCGGATTAAACCTAAGCTAGATCTATTTTACCATGTTATCATTAAATAATCGTTACGACATGTAAAACTGTCGTGATATCTAGCTATTTGTTATTTCATTTAGAATATTATTTACAAAAAGTTGTAATACAACAACTTCACCACGTGTTGGAAGATGCAAACACCGGATGTAGTTTGTTTACATTCAATCTGGAGGTCGTCTCCACAGTTTGCAACCAGCCATGTTAATAAAAACACATGACAGCATATAAATATGCTTATCGGTGTTATTTGCCTTTAATTTGTGTAAGGAACTATGTGTGTTTCCTTTTCCCTCCATACTTCGGGTTGAGTCTACCGCGTGCTACCTCTTTAGTAAGCCGATCTCTGATTGGCCAGCGTAGTGTTTATAAACAGAGAGGCGCTGCGAAGGTAAAGTCTGACAGTCCCCTTGTTCCAAATTCAGCAGCATATCTCAAAAGCAATTACTGCACGACCCAGCGAAGGTGCAGAAGGTGATCATTTATTAAATTTTTGGACTCTGCACCTTCTCCAGTACCGACTATTTCCCGTGTATTGTAGGATGTTGATCCGCCCCTTCCTTGTTATTGTTTACCTTCACCAGAAACCAATTGAAGAATATTTTCCTATAACCTAGGACTATTTAGATTGTTTTAATATTTATTCTAAACCTTATTCCTGACGAATGTATTATCCCTTTGATCTACCGCGCCAGCTGCTGACCAGGAAGTTACCTGTTCGTTTTATATACGTTGTCAATTTGTTGCAATAAATTTATGTTTCTTTTATACAAAGACTTTCTCTTGTTTTGTTGACTGTCAAAATGTACAGAGCCTACGTATTATTATAACGAAATGCTGTAGAGTATAGGAAAAGTAATTATTTATACCAGGTTTTAATACAAGTATTTAAGCACAGCCTTTCACATTTGCAAACAGTTTTGCCGTTTAAGAAATTGTACGTGAATATGTGTGTGTGTGTGTGTGTCTGTGTCTGTGTATGTGTGTTTGTGTGTGACTTATTTCAATAAATACACAGTGATAGAAAACACATAGGCATCAGTTTGAACTTTGTCAATTCACACAAATGGCACTACATACTTGCGCATGATTGTCAAAGCACAACACACTGTCCCTATTTTACGAATCATAGGTCTCGAGCCATCAGTTGACACCAAATAGTCTAATGAAACAGTATCCTGTAACATTTCGTCCTTGATTGGTACTAATCCAATGACACGTTCCACCTGGATTCTTACATGTCCCAATTTCCTGGTCTTTTCCACATCCATAGCAGAGAGCTGGTTTTTTCCCATCGTGAAAGCTGTTTCAAAAGCATCAGCACCAGAATAAGTCTTTGAAACTTTGAAAGTGCACTGGTATGTCCCTGCACGAGAGACGATTCCAAATATGCATAAAGAGTCACTGGTACGGCAAAGGAAGGTGAGCCTTTGAATAACTTCACTTTTTCGTCATCTTCTCTGAAAGTCTCCTCTGTCAGAGTAGTACTCTTCAGTTGTTCTCTCAGGGAAATGTTATCCATGGTTAGGCGGTTCAGTTCTGTCTCCAAAGAAGAAATGGTTCCTCCACACAATTCGGTCTGTGATGACAAACCCATTTCAACAGCTCTCGTCATCTTCAGTCCCCCGGCTCTCAAATAAGGAAATCAAAGACGTTGCTGCTTCAAAATATTTCTTCTTGTCCACTCTGCCCTTTATTCTGATGATTCGGTCTGGGGTATGCTGCACTGACTGGCTCTTCTGATGGCTGTTTGGAAGGTGCCCAGTCTGGATCACAGTCTTTATACAGGGAAGTGGGCTTTCCTGTAAGAAATAAAAATTGTCAGTAATCTTATATAAGTAAACATCTCTCTTGACCCTCCCTTCAACGCTGTGATCGTATAAAATAAATACATTTATAATTATGCTGTTTTGTATCTGTATACGTCGTAGTACCCAGTACTGTTTTTATGCTATAAGTATACTATTTATATAATATTACTCTGTTATCTAACTTATTTTCTACATGTGTAAATTTAAATATACTGACATATTTATATAAATATCCGAATTTTTGTCAGATTTTCACGTTTTCCGTTTCTGCAAGACAGGAGAAACACTCGTTTACATTAGCCTGACTTACCCTAAAACACTTTCTAAACATAGCTTGTTAGTGTTTAACATGGGTATAAATAATAAATAAAATACTGTTCATTTATCTTGCGTGAGTCGCCCGTGTGGCGCAATGGTTAGAGCGTCTAGAGTCGCTGAGTAAGGAGTTGATCCTTACGTCGCGGGTTCGAATCCCACTGCGGGACGTGGAGACCAATCCTTCGGATGAGACCGTACAAATGTAACGCAGTAGGTGCTGGAACGAAAAAGATCCCTCACTGCTCAATGGCCCTGAGTACCGAGTATATGTCAGAATTTGTAGCCCTCCACCGGCAAGTGGTGGCGTCTCCATATGAGTGAAAAATTATCGAGAGGGACGTCAAAATAACAAATAACAATCAATCAATCAATATTTAGCATGAATTTTACACGAAGAAAATAATTTACATACCTGTAATGAAACGATGACAGGAAATTCGCACATAGGGGTATGAAGACGGCGCAACATCAGCTCTACTTATTCGAGATAGCCACACTCTCTTTTGTCTTTCCGATAATTCGTAAGTTTTCTCCACCCGATTGTTAATAATAGCAGGTAATCGATACAATGACACTTTGTCCCTCCCCGTGGTGTTCGTACAAGCAATGATAGCACAGTAGTTCACACCAAATTTACATAATTTTCTGCTCGACTGAATTAGCTGAATGACATGCGGTATACCTCCAATATGGTCGCCGACCTAAATGGCACCCTGATTTCTTAGGTCTTCCAAATATATTCTAAATGTTTTCAAAGAAACGCAATTTGATTTAAGGTTGAGATGTCTGAAATCCTTTGCAGAAAAAAACCATCTGAGCTTACTGGAGACTAAATCCCAGTAAATGGGAGATTAGCATATGCTTGAGTTAGAGCGCTTGCTCTAGAGTCGTGAAGTAAGGAGTTGATCCCTACATCGCGGGTACGAATCCAACCGCGGGACGTGGAGACCGGTCCTTTGGACCGAGTTAATCGACGTCCCCTGTCGAAGCAGGTCCTGGCACCAAAAGGACGAAAGCACGAAAAGGATCTCTCACTTCTTAAAATCCGTTAGTGCTGAGTACAGGTCTAAATATGGATCCCAACTGAGAACGGCTGATAACAAGCAGCACCATCACTCGACAATTCGCAGAGCAACAGATAAGAAGTGTACAGCAAGTGTTAAGAAGAAAAGACAAACAAGGATAGGTAATATATTAATTTTAAATAAACAAAAGCCGCTGAGGGCTATTTAGCAATTCCTGCCGCTGAGGGCAGAAGTTAATGCATGAAATTTTAAGCCGCTGAGGGCTATACATTTTTCCTGCCGCTGATGGCAGATGTTATTGCATGAAATTAAGACCTGTTAAGGGCAAAAGAAATGGTTCCTTAGGGCTGTACATAATTATTCCTGCCGCTGATAGCAGAAGTAAAATGCAAGCTATATAAAACCACTAGGGTGTGTTGCAACGCATGAAAGTTTAGAAGCCGCTGAGGGCTGATATTAATGTTTGAAATTGAAAACCGCTGAAGACTGATTATAAGCTAATAACATTTAGTACTAGTTTGTAAAGTCAAGCTGCTAAGGGCTGTTTAATGTAAATTAAAATTTTCCTGCCACTAAATGATTTAAAAATTTCAAAGCCAATGAGGGCTGTCTATGGCTATTGAGATGAAATCTTAAGTATAGGAGAGTTGTTAAGAGCAGAGATAAATATATTGTTAATAAATTATGGCTATCTGAGTATTGATGCGAAAAAGCCGAATTATAAAAATTCATAGGCACAACGTGTTTTAGTCAACATATAACACAGTTTTGGTAGCTGTTTACAAATGTATATGCGTTCTACATAGTTTGTATAGTGAAAAAAAATGTACGTTCAGGCTTTAAGATTTAACTGTCTAGTATCAAGGTAAAATTTAGTAATCATGGTAATTTTTTTTTCTTATTACTAGTTGCCTTCTCCTACCGTCTTAAAGCGGAGACACTCTCTGCGGGGGAAAGACTTGTTCCCCGTCATCAAAGAGATGAGAGGGCTGGAACAGCCGGTGAAACAGTTTGCACGATATAAAATAAACACACCGCTAGAGGAGATGGAAAAGGATGAAGTGAATAGCGCCTTTAGGAAACGGACCGGAGAATCTGAAAAAGAGTGCATGCAGATGGCTGGTAAAGAGATGACAGAACAAAACCTAAAGACGCTTCTTCATCTAGTAATTCTGAGGGCGAATGAGTTCGGCCAACCAGCTGGCCAAGAATTAAGCACCGAGAACAAGGTATACAGTTAACTTGTACTGATAATTAATGTAATTATTGCTAGCATCACCACCATGGGATATAATAATCAAATTACTAATTCCATGAATCTATTATTTAACTATATCTGCTTTAAGAAAAAGATAAATTTATTAACGGATGGTATTATAATGAATTATTTCCACACTTTGTGTATACAGGACAGTGAGCCGGAAGAGCCACCTGCAAAGAAAGTGAAGCCGACCCCGAGTGTTGAGAAGAGGCTACAAGAACTTGAGAAAAGTCAGAAAAACGAAGACAAAGAAATAGAAAATGTAAAAGAAAAGGTGAGGAGTTTAGCACTTCAAAGTAACCCTAGTATCCCACTTCTCCTTGTTACTTTGGATGAGCTCGCCAGAATAACTCGGCGGAAGGGCCATGATGAGGCCTCCGTGTTTGATGAGCTTTCCCGACAAGCTAATCTGAATCAAGATAAAATTGATGTTCCAAACATTTGTTTGAGTGTTCTCGGGGGCAAGGCTTCAGATATCGTAGGTAAAGCATTGTCAAAAGCTGTCAAAATAAAACCTGAAACGAAATCTACAGAAACAGTGATAATAACTTCACTAAAACTCAATCTCCACTTTTGAATCTATACGGACAACCAAACTACATGGGGTATATTCCACTACAATACAATTTTGTACCTGGTACACATGCAGTGGGAACCCAGTATGGGTATCGGCGACACCAGCGCGCTCCATACAGGCAACCAAGGACTGGCTACCTTTTCTGCGGGGCAAATGACTATTACATTCGTGAATGTGCAAAAATGAAAGCAGCAAGAGGAAAAATAAATTCTCAATGACTTTTTTAACAATGTGAAAGAACTGATTTTAGTCAAGTTGAACCAGTTTCTCAGATTTGAATTGTACATTTATCGGTAATTTCTTTAGATATGATATGATATGTTTTAGATTATTTGTCTTTAATTGACTTAAAAACATGTAGTGTTTTTCAATCTGAAAAAAAAAAATAGAATTGATTAAATATTGGCATGGAATGAGTGTTATCGGTGTTTGTTATCCCAATACCTGATATCCGGGGACACTGAAGCCCTAGTGAGGACTCTCACGTGGATTGATGGTTTGGGATCATGTTTTCCCATGTTATCCTAGTAGATGATGCTCAATCCGAAATATTTAGATTATTAAGAATAATAAATATCTCGTGTTTGCATGAATTTAACATTTACGTTCCTGACTGTGAGAAAAGTGACGAATTTAACCCAGAGGAAATTGTTTTACGTAAGAGAGAGCATCCTACCTGGACAACACTGCGGGAATACGGTTCCAAACCAACAATCCATGCAGATGGACAAGTATTTATTGATTCCTATAGCGACTTACTGCATTTCTCTGTAAGAAATCCTGATCGATTCGTTTCGGGTGAAATTCACAAACACAAAGATGAATGGTTGCGTATAATTCAAAGAAATTCAGACGACATGTCAACTACAATTCAAAATTGGGTCAGTAATGGCATTGATGTTAGGTCCTTCCTGCTTCGTTCAAGGGAAACTTCAAAGGGCAATCGTATGATAACAGACTCCCACCAAAACAGTATTTTCAAAATTCTAAGAATTGCAAAAACTTTGTTCATTTTATTAGAAAAGAAATAAGTGAGAGACTAGTTAATGGTTTGTTGAGATTATGGGGAAGGGTGGGAACAAGCTGTCTCCCTAAGATTATCATGCCTTTGACAGTGGAACCAAATAAGCCACGACTATGTCATGATGAGCGTTTTTTGAACTTGTGGTAAAACGATTTACCCTTTACGTTAGATACTCTTAAAGACGTTCATAGACATGTTGGAAAACATGCTTTCATGGTGTGTTGCGATGAAAAATCGGGATACGATCATATTAAGCTAACCAGAGAATCAGAAACGTACTTTGGAATTCAGTTTGGGGGATGGGTCTTCAAATACACGACTCTACCATTTGCCTGGAAAGCCTCTCCTTATTTATATCAAATGATTGGGATGAAGATCACATAATACCTTCGAGAGAAGGGTCTTCATATGGTCCAATACATTGATAACAGGCTCGCAGTGTGTCAGAAATATGACAAAATTGATCAATCAGAACTTAAAGAACAAGTTTGTCCGTTATAAATGGTTAAATTTATCGTGACCGAATTAACAGCCTTAGGATGTACACTGGCTATCAGAAAGTGCCAGCTAATTCCATCTACAGTAGTCCGATACTTAGGTTTTTCTAGTTGACTCTTCTAAACAGGTCTACTTACATCCATTGGATAAAAAGGAAGCATTCATCAGAATACGAGAGGGTATCTTGCAGACAAATGAAGTTGATGTTAGAACACTTCAACGATTTGCCGGAAAATGTATATCCATGGCAATCGTTATACCAAGTGCCAAATTATATACAAGAGAGATAAATTTTGCGGTATCACGGTGTATGAAGAATAGTAAACAAACAACCATTTCTCGTGAGCTGCGACAAGAGATCGAACATTGGAGGTTTTTAGACGACTGAGAAGGCTTCGCGCCATGGAGACAAGGAAAGCATCTTCAGATGTCACTGTCAACGGACGCATCCTCTTTCCGCTACGGGATTTCCCTAATGTCAGGCCAAGACAATGGTCTATCTTTTGGAGACTATTGGTCAAGCGAGGATGATCGAATCGATTCATCTTAAAGAAGCATCAGCTGTCGACATTGCTCTTCAGTCCTTGGCACCAAAACTCAAGGATCACAGATTAGACATTCATGTTGACAACACCGCAGTCTTGCATGCTTGGGAAAATCAAAGGTCTCGTGACCGACAATTGGCTGACATCATGAAAAATATATTCCAGACAGTTTGGAAATTGAATATCGACCTAAGATTACACTATGTGCCATCAGCAGAAAATGTTGCAGACGCTCCCTCTAGGACTATTTCTTACACAGATTGCATGTTACGTCCCAAAACATGGCAGAGTGTTGATGCTATATTTGGACCACATACGGTGAACTTGATGGCGACGGATGCGAATGTTATGATGTCCAACTCTGGAGTACCACTGAAACATTTTACGAAAAACTCTACTCCGCAATCAGCGGGTGTTAATGTATTTGCGCAAGATTTGTCAAGTGAGAAGCGTCCCTACGTGTTTCCTCCAGTTCACCTAGTATTCCCTGTACTGTGTCTCCTTAAAGAACAAAAAGTAACACAGTGCACAATTATTGTGCCAATAATATACCTGCGACCAATTTGGTGGCCGCTTTTAAGTGCTCACTGTATAAAATTTTTCATGTTAGGTAAACAAGGTGATAAATCTGTATTGCTTATCCTATCAAAGAAAGGGTTTATTTCCGATAAAATGGGACAGAAATGGGAACTTAGAGCATGTATAGTGGACTTTAGCTGAAATTATAATAAAATTACGGACTCTTATCTTGTAGGTGGAAAATAATGAAGTTGACCTTCCTGCTATTGACGAAAGGTTGAGCCAGCTTGAAAAGAATGAAGATAATAAGAAAGCTACAAAGAAGATGAAAAGCTTGGAGAAAAGGATGCGACTTTTCTTACCGCAGTTACCGCACTCTCCGGACTTAACAAGTATGACGCCACACGACGTATGCAGATTTATGGTATGGAGTGATAGACTGAAGACGCAGGTACACGAAATCTCGTGTCGACACTTGGGTAAATTAGGTTTATTTGAATGCGCATGTCCTACTAGGCTCGCGGCAGGAACTATTCATAATATGATGCAACAGATATCTGAAATCTTGTATATTCATGGAGGAACTCGATCATGGGATGTTCATACTAAGTCTGGAAATCCCTGCTTGTCCCCTGAAGTGGAAAACTATGTAAAACTTTGTAAAGAAGAACAGGCAAAGTCCCATGTGTTATCTAAACAAGCAAAACCAATATTTTTAGGAAAGATAAAGAAATTGACATTGTTTATTGAAAGAGAATTTGCTCACCCTGACCTTTCTTTATGATTGATTGTATGTTGTTTTACGTCCCATTCGAGAATTTTTCACTCATATAGAGACGTCACATTATACCGGTGAAGGGCTTCAAATTTTGACCTTTACTCGGCACTCAGGGCCATTGAGCAGTGAGGGATCTTTATCGTGCCAACGCCTGCCGTGACACGGGGCCTCGGTTTTTAAGGTCTCATCCGAAGGACCCGCAACTTTCACTTCAAAGTGCCGAGCGCATGGCGAAGGAACAGTTGTTACCTATTTTTTATCGACTTAGGTCTGTCGCGGCCGAGATTCGAACTCACGACCTCCCGATCACGGAGCGAGCGCTCTACCGACTGAGCTACCGTGAACGGTGACCTTTCTTTAAGGGAAAAGTTCGTCTTAATCAGAGATCAAGCGATATTCAAGATCCAGTACTTTGCGGGAGATAGAATCAGCGATGTTTGCAATATTTTGTCGCAGGAAGTTAAAAAATTACAAGATAACTCCAGTTTTGTTTTCAACCACACCTACGGTAAGACGTTACGTGGAGATGGAAAGTCAGACACTTTTGTCGTTAAAAGATCTCAAGATAAGTCAATCTGTCCTGTTGTAGGGCTAGAGAATTACTATGCCTGGTCAAAACAAAATAAGGTGGATCTGAGTCTAGGATATCTCTTTAGGCCCGTATCAGGACGAGTACTGGATCAACAGCTGGGATGTTCAGCGATTAATGAACGACTAAGGTATTACCTGGTATCTTTGGGTATCTATGAAGGAGAAACCCCACACAGTCTACGGGGCGGTTTTGTGGTAACCATGGCGATTTCAGGCACTGCGGCATCTCCCAAGGATGTCGGATGGTCGAGTGAACGATGGGCTTATTATTATAGCAGGACAAAAACCTTGACAGATTCTAGCACTTTAGCAAGCAATATTGCCAACTTATCGGCAGACACAGACGAAATTGAAGGATTTTACAGGACACATGGAGATTTTTCCTCCCTTAATCCAGCCTTTAACCCAACAAATTAAAGAATAAGATGTTGTCAACCTCATATGCTAATATTTTATTTATACTAGTTATTCAATAAAATCATCATTTAAATAACCTTATTACTAAATTACTTTGTATATAATCAGGTCAATACTGTTGTGTAACATCCTGTGTATTTAAATCTCATGACTTGACATATAAAAAGCATGAGGGAATAAATTTTTTTTTTTTTGGCACTATGGTTTTTGTAAATTACCATGGTTACTGACCTCTTGACCTTGACCTTTGACCTACTTTTCAATATACAATGTAGTTCATAGGGCTGATTTACAGCATATTTTTGACATTTAAGAGGTATTCCTATGCCATTTAGCATGTGCACTGTTTGTCGTAACACAATATGAAAAATACCAGCATTACAATCCACTTGACCTTTGACCTACTTTACAAAAAATACTTCGGGAAGTTTAGTTTAATTTATGACTTTTGAAATTTGAGACACAGGATTTTGATAATTAGCATTTATACATGTTTATGAGCTCATGATACTGTAATTTGAATCTGTATGATGTTCAGTTACCACATAAACTTATATTTTAATTAAATACTATGCAAATACATCGGGATCGTTATTCCACAATGGATCATGTTAAGACAGACAATTGCTGTAAAGATAGACTGAAATCTCTTTTGGAGGATTATTGGAAACACGTTTAGCTCATGATAAAGTACTTTGAAAATGTATGAGGCCAAGATAAATAAATAGTGTGTTTCCTATTCCAACCCGAGAAAAAAATAGGGTAGTTAGGTAGGGAAAACATTTTATTTTCCCTTACAGAAAAAACCAATAGAAACTTATAAGTGTTTTATACTTCACTTATAAGCCACTTATAAGTCACCTATAAGTTTTGAAATTTACTTATAAGTGTACTATAAGTCAAAATAAGTATAAGTGAGGAACAGATTTTGTTAATACTTCACTTATAAGTGAAGATTAGCCAAATATCAGTGAGTATTTCACTTATACTTCACTTATAAGTGAAGATCAGTATGGTATTAGCCAGAATAAGTGTGGACTTAGAATTTTTACACTATACTAGACTTCTCTTGAGTTGCATTGTGGGTATTCAAGCTAACCAATCAGAAACTTTGTGTCTGAAGAGATAAACAACAAGAATTTGAAACTAAGTTAGTCTCTGTGAAAGGATGTTGTTGGAGATTTCAAATTTATTTTGAGTATGCCTTTACATCAGATTCAACAAGTAGGTTATATTCACATTATCTTTTTATTTTAGCTTCCTTTGCCTGAAATTTTGAATCAATTGACTCATTTGCTTTCAGATTTCATTAATTTGAAGAAACCTCAAGGTCATTAAATCTTAACTGATTTCTTTTTGTCAAACATTTTTGTTTGTGAGCTGAAATAATATATAAAGTTTGCATCATCAAAGAATGTCATATGAGAGGGATTTTTTTCTCTCATAAAATGTTAACTTAATTATTTCATCTTAGGTGAAGATGCATATGTATACATGTATATGTAAAAAAACTTTGAACATCATGCAACCCCTGCATGATTTGTTCTAAATTAAGATCTTAGAGGCAGTGCTGTACTTCACTTATAAGTGACTTATAAGTGACTCATACTTGATAAAGTATAAAGGGCTAATACTTGACTTATAAGTCACTTATAAGTGACTAGATAAAGTATAAAGGGCTAATACTTGACTTATAAGTCACTTATAAGTGACTATGCTTGCATAAAGCAAAAGTGGCTAATACTTGGCTTATAAGTCACTTATAAGTCAAGCACCTCATTTGCATATAAAATCCTAATGAGTCACTAATCAGTCACTTATATGTTAAATGTATTAGTGAAGTATAAGTCCAGTATAAACAACATACAAGTAAAAGAATAAAGCACTTATAAGTCACTTATCAGAAATTTCTGTAAGGGTTATTTTAACATTTTATTAGTTAAAATTCAACTTTGACAATAAACATTTCTTTTTCTAAAAAGGGCGGCTTACTAATGGCATTTCTGTTTAATGTGTATAGGATATGCATTTTTTCAAACACCGAAATGATCGAGATTAGGATTTTTAATAGTGAAGAAGAATTGTTTACTTCCGGAAAGATATCCGCGGAAAAATTTTTCAGGGTTGGCTCATATATTTTAGGGTTGATCGGGGAACCGGAAACGCACAATATATTTATCTAGGCCTGAAATTCAGTTAACACATATGTTAATACAATGAAAATACATTGGGATCGGTATTCCACCATGGATCATGTAGAATGACAATTGCAGTAAGGACAGACTGAAATCTGTTTTGGAGGATTAATTGTTGGAAATATGTCTTAATAAAATGATAAGTAGATATTCCTATTAATTAAATTATTCATTTGAGGGTTAAAGAACCATATTTTCTTTGATTGTCAGATTCTATCAGAGTCTTATACTATCCATAGGTGCCAGTTTTTCTTTGCAGGGAAATGCATGTATTGAACTATCATGCTAAAAGTAAATAAAAAGCTGACCAATTTTATAATTTTGTCACCTTTAAGGAAGCTACAGAGCAGGCGACACATGTGTTCCTTGAAACACTCTAGTTTTAATTTTATATAGTTTTCATATATAATTATTATAATATCGAGATACGTATCATATCATGTTATATGTATTGAGATACGTATCGTATCACAAGATCTACCTGTTTTGTCCCACCTCTATAAAAATGTTTGCTTTTGTTGAACTCAGTTGCTTTCAAATTGATGATGATCATCATATAGGTACTCATTGAAGAAGAAAAGAAGAACCGGGAAGACCTGTTGTTTACATGATACTTAAATTTGCACCAGTCTTGCAACTTTATTTGTTATTGACATGAACAATATTTCAATTTTTTTTTTAGAAAAGGTTTAAATCTCAAAAGTTCAAGGGGTCACAATCTTTAAATTATACCAGTACATGTATTTTTTTAAAAAAAATGTGAAAAGTTTAAACAGTACAAAAAAGATGAATGATTCAATCCCAGATGTCGGACTTGATCTCGCCCCTCCAGATAAAGCAAAATGTCTTTTAAAACTATCTAAGTTGATGCAAAGATTACATATTATATTTTATTTCTTAACTGTTCTTGTGTGTCGAGACAAGGTCAGTTGTATTGAGAGCACTAACAAATTAAATTTGCTATTGGGGTCAAAAATCGGGTGTTGAGTGATGTAGCTCATAGACTTTTCTTGTAATCATGGGTAAAAATATATACTGATGAAAAAAATTCAATTAAATTGTGTAATACAGAGCAAAACTATTATTGCAGATTTTGGAGTTTTCACAAGAGCAAACTTAAGGTGACTTTATTCTTGAAAATGTTGGAGACTGAGAGGCAGATGTATAAACAGACAACTCTGCATGGAATTGGAGGATACGAGTATATAACTGAATGCATTCTATCTGGATTTCTGTATGGTGACAGAAGGCTTTGGTAAGTCAAGATAACAGTAATAGATCATAAGTAAACAATTATCATTTAAGTTCTCATTTTGAAATCTATGCTTACATTACCATAAAAAAAACATTCACTGACCTCATTTGCTGACCTTATGGTTATTCAGTCTTTGAAATGCACTTTTTTGTTTTCAATCGATCTTACTTGAAAGGAAACTCCAATTAACTTTGTGCTAATTTTAGCCTTTTTTTTTCAAATGAAAACCTAAGTCACTCACTGACCTATTTGCTATCTGCTTTTGTCCATCCGTCTTTAACATTTGAATATTTTTAGCTTCTTTTCTGAAACTGATGAACCAATTTCAACCAATTTTGGCAAAGAATATCTAGTATGATGAAGGGGAACAAAAATTGTGAATTTCTGCCACCCCCTCCCTTTGGCCTGAGGGATAGGCTAAACTTATTAAAATTATTGCAATCTTTAAAAATCTTCTTTTTTTACTACTGGAAATTAAGCAGTTGAATTGCTGCTATGGTTGAATAAGCATTAAGCCCTCTGTCAAAATTCTGAAATTCATTGCCCCAAGGTCAGGGGTTCCGGTGTAAGGGTGGAGGTCCATTGATTAAATATGGTGAAAATGCATTATTTCTTTGAAAATATTCTTCTCTGCTCCTGGATATGAAGCAGACAAACTAAGTACAAAGTTATGATGAGCACCTCTTCCAAAATTATTAATTTCATGGCCCTTGGGTTGTGGTGTTAGGATGGGGCTTTAGTGATAATTATAGTGAAAATGCATTAATTCTTTGAGAATCTTCTTCTCTGTCTCTGATTATTAAGGGGAAAAAACTAAGTGCAGGTTATAATGAGCAAGGGTGCTTCTTTGAAAATTGTGAATTTCATAGCCCCTGGATGAGAGGTTGGAGGGTGTGGTCTATGGATAATACAGGTATAGTGAAAATGCATTATTTCTTTGAAATTTTTTTTTCTGCTCCTGAGTATTGAAAACAATATTAAGTTCATGGTTATGATGAATAAAGTTGCCTTTTCCATAATTTTGAATTTTATTCCCCAAGGGGTCAGTAGTTTTGGTGTTAGGGCAGGGCCCTATTGGTTATATAGTAAAAATGCATTATTTCTCTGAAAATCTTCCTTCTTTGATCATGTGCATCAGATTTTTACCAATCTTAGTACATAGTTATGATAAGTAACAGTGTCTCTTTCAAAATTGTGAATATCATGGCCACTTGGTTGGGGATTCTGGTGCTAAGGCATGGTTCTATTGAATATACAGTGAAAATGCATTAATTTTTTGAAAATCTTTCCTGCTTCTCGGTATAAAGCAGATAAACTGAGCCCATGGTTATATTAATCAAGGGTACCTCTTCCAGATTTGTGAAATTTGTGGCTCCAGGGTCAGCAGCTCTTATGTTTGAAGATAGAGTTGTCTATTGAATTTATATAGTGAAAATTCCTTAATATTTTTGAAAATCTTTTCTTCTCCTGGGTATTAAACAGTCAGACTATTATATAAGCAAAGTGCCTCTTCCTGAGTTCCAAAATTATGAATTTCATGGCCCTAGGGT